GCAAACCCCCCCATATTTTTTCCCCCCAATAAAAAAAAAAAAAAAAATCCATTTTTTTCCCCCCATCAGAAAGAAAACCCACCACATTTTTCCCATTAAAAAAAAATTCCAAAAGCCAAGCACCTCTGAGGGTTTGGTTACACCAGCAGGGAAATGAGCTTCAACGCCACATCAACAGCTCCAGCATCAAGCGTCCCCAGCCCCAAAGCGTCCCTCCCTCACCCATCCCAGCTGGCGAGAAATGCCGCCGCACGCCCAGGCAGAGGAAGGGGATTATTTAACAGATGGTTTGTTTAATCCCCGCAAGGAGCTCCTGCGAACTGCCTCAGCTGCCTGCACCTTCGGCGCAGGCAGCAGGGTTGCAGGGGAGGGTGCCCGGCACCTTTGGGAAACACGTTTGTAATCCCAGGGCGAGCGCAACCCGCTCAGCATTGCTCCACTGCCCCCCCAGACCAGCCCCAAAACTTCCCAAGGAACCGGGCTGGCACACATGGCAGGACACCCAGGTGATGAGCACACTCCTGCCGTATCCAAATCCCTCCCGGACTCGCCGAAATAACACTTATCTTCTGAAATTCACATAGCTGCTGCACAGCACACATCCCAGCAGCTCTGCTTCCAGCCGGGACAGACCCGGCAGCTCACCTCCCGTGGCTCTCGTGAGACTCTCCAGCAGGGCTTACAGCCCTTAAACAAACGAGAAGAGCTGAACTTCACCTGCAAACGCCCTCCCAAGCTGGGCAATGGGTAAATCAGTTCTCTTCACCAAATTCCTCCATGGAATGCCTCTACGCTGCACCAGCACTTACGGCATTAGCGCAGGTGGGAAACTCCCAGGTTATTGCTAACCGCAGCACAGCTCCGGCTTTGGTCAGCTCTGCAGGATGTCTCGGCCTTACAAAATAATTCCTGTCAAGTGGAAAACCCCAAATTCATCTTCTTGAGGGCAAAATTAACCCCACACTAATGACACCATGGACCGGCTCCCTGCACAGGCTCTTCCCGAAGGCAGGAGGCACAAGGAGAACGAGGTCTTTGCTGGAGCACACCTCCCCCAGGAGGGCAGCGTGCCGGCAAGCCCCTCCCATTTCAAGGTAAAATTGGTATTTATGGATTTCCAAGCGATTTCCAACCACACTAGCTGACACATGGACATTTCTCAGCAAAAGCGCTGGAAATCTCAGGTGGCTCCAGAAGGATACGCATTAGGAGGCTGCAAGTAAACATCAAAAGACGAAGTCAACGGCCTTTAAAAAAAAAAAAAAAACCAAACAAAAAAAGGCAGAAAATGAGTCACCAGAGCGCATTACTCATATCCGAGCAGAGTCATGCTTTAGGTACATGTGACAGGCACAGCGGGAGCGGAGGAGCCCGGCTCGTCCCCTGGCCGGCCGGGCGGGGACACGGTGGCCCTGGGGCGGGCGAGGAACGTGGGGTGTAGTGCGGACAGGGATTTGCTAAATAAATCTCCAATCCGCCAGCCTCATCCCTGCGCGGGATCTGGCCCTGGCAAATCCCCCAGCATTAGCAGCAGCAACGTGGATTGTTTACATCCCCGCGTACGTGGCTCCACAACCCTTTCGCTAAACCAGAATTAAACCTGTACTAAAAATAAGCTCATCCGTTTATCTGTTCCAGGTGGAAACACAGCAGACAAGGCCAGACCCCCCGGCAGCCCTGTTACCGATGGCTCCCATCACCACGCAGTGATGGGGGGTTCTCCCCCATCCCCTGCAAAATAGACTTTCCAACAGAGTTCAACCATTTACCTTCCCCTATAAAATCAGTTTCTTCTGCGCAGGGCGTTGGAGGTCGGTGTGCGTTTGCCGGAGGTTATAAACCCTGGGATGCACCGGGTCTCACTGTGATCGTGGGCCTTCGCGATTCGCTGTAGGACCCTTAAAGACAAACCCAAGCCCTTGCAGAGGTCACCATCTGAGCTCTGATAAAGTGACACATACACAAGATTCCTCGCTTAAAAGGCTTCTCCCTACCAGGAAAGGAGGCCGGGAGACGCAGGGCCCCACCAGGAGCGTCTTGCCCAAGTCTCTGGTGAGCTCCAGAGGGCGCAGAGGCAGATGAGCCCATCAGCCAGGTCCCGAGCACCAAACAGGCTCGCACAACCTTCTTGGAAACACTGCTGCCTGCAAAGCTGAACTGGAAAAGGCTGCGCCCTGAGATGCCACCGGGCTTGACCACCCTACATCGTGCTTTGCACAGCCAGAGCATTGCCCGTGCACCCATAGTCCGCCCCGGCGGGAGCAGGGCTGGACCAGCGTGAGCAGCTCAGGGGAACAAGCCCTGCCAGCCACCAGGCCCCATCTCATCCCTTCTGCCCATCAC